TGTATCTTTAAGGTATCACGCATCACCTTGAACTATACTGCTTGACTTTCCCTGCTTGATGCATGGATGAAGGACAGAAGTTATCATGGAGCATGCTCACACCTTGGAGATTACCGGTACGCTAGACTGCACCACCTCTGTGATGTGAACGGGGCAGGGGAGTGTTTCACAAAGACTAAGATAGACTTTAAGTTGAACTTAACTATGGCAGGCCATTCATGCCACTGTTTGCACTCACCGTTTAATGGCATCCGTCTCTCAAGGGAAGTATAAATCATAGTCACAAATCTACAGAATTTACATTTTTTGATAATTCATTATTGAAGATCTAAAGATTATTGTTATCTAAAGATCATAATTGAGAGACCAATAGTGAGAGCAACTAGTGGCATGAACGGCTTGCCATAGTTAAGTCCAACTTAAAGTTGATCTTAGTCTTTGTGCAACACTCCCCTAGTGTACCAGTGGTCCCAGTGGCGGATCCAGGGGGGGGGGGGCCCGGACCCCCCCCCTTGAGAAAAAAATCATGTGAAATCACGTGATTTTTACCTTTTACCCTGGCGCTCAAGGGGGGGGGGGGGTGCAAATTGAAATTTTTTTGAGGATCAAAAAAAAAAAAAAATGTGCTCACTACCCCCCCCCCCCCCCCCTTAATGAGCAAATTTTTGGCCGGCGCGTTTTTCAAATTTTCGGGAGCAAAAAAAAAAAAAAAAAAAAAATTGTGTTCTGTACCCCCCCCACCCCCCCCCCCCCCCCCCACTGAGCGACTTTTCGGCCGGCGCGATTTTCAAATTTTTGGGAGCAAAAAAAAAAAAAGTTGGGCCCCCTCCCCTAAGAAATCCTGGATCCGCGCCTGAGTGGTCCTCACTGACTCCTGCTGTGATTATGTTATCCATCGCAGGATTCTATAACACTTGCTCTTGTCACAATAAGCCAGTTTCGTAATGTAACCAAATTTAATGCATACGTCTTTGTGAAGTGCCTCAATACAAATTATTTCATTCACCTGATAAGAATAATAGTATTTCAATAGTCAGAATGCAACTGCATATATTAAGTGTTGCTAGGTAGGTCAAGCCATAATGTTTGTCCAACCTGGCAACAACTTAATATATGCAGTTGCATTCTGACTATTGAAATACTATTATTCTTATCAGGTGAATGAAATAATTTGTATTGAGGCACTTCACAAAGACGTATGCATTAAATTTGGTTACATTACGAAACTGGCTTATTGCTCCCTGTCAATATCCTGCTCTAACCAAATGTAACTTAAACCCTGAACCCAACCCTGAACCCAATACTATACCTACATGCAACCCTTAACCCTAACCTTAACCCTAGCCATAACTCTAACCAAAGAATAACCCAATTGCAACCCTAACTATATTCCTTTGATGGAATACAGCTTGGAGTGATTGATGCAGGATCAAATGTTGGGTCACTCCATTGCAGATAGGAATAGGAATGATCTGATGTACCATTGGCCCACCTTGACTTGTTCTAGGTTGCACCATGGTACCCTCTCAACCTGTGGTTCATCTTTGTAATGTGATCAGGGTCTTGCACTGTCTCACCATGTTGCTTTAGGGTACATCAGTGGAAAGAATAATATTCATAAATGATTCAAGATTTAGAGACATATATGTACTAGGAAGTCTTGAATTACCCCCCTCCCCCATCTCTTCCCCCGCATCTCCCAATAAAGTTGGTGATTTCAAATTCTGGTCAAATTCCTGTAGGAATAAATTAAAACTTCACTGTTATTATGCAGTTGGTTGAATAAAAATAGCTCTAATACAGCAATGTAATGGATATTTTCATCAAGCAGGGATGAGAAGAGTTAGTCAAAGAGAACACAGCGTGATGTACAGAATGTAGCTAATATGATGTAGATCAACTCACATCTTTGGAGTTTATCCTCTACAATCAAGTGATCACATTTGTGTCTGGATATTTATAGCTCACTATGAATCAGACCATCTTGAGAAGCGTTTAGATGATGAGCAAGGAATCCGGAATGCATCACAGTCACAGTGATATGGATAATGTGTGAGACTGAGATATGATGTGGTTAACCTAAAACCAAATGATTATCTGTACGTCTCCAGCGGAAACTCCCTGGTATGTCATGGATGTATGTAGGGAAGCAAACACTACTCCCAGCTTGTTCACACTTCAGGCAATCTTTACAAACCTCTTAATGTTGCTTATAGAAAGGGGAATACATGTGCACAAAGTATCCCATGAAGATATCACTTAAAGAACTAGTTTTGAAAAGGTCAGTTGACATTTAAGTGTCAGCTCAAATGACAGTTGGGTATAGTCATCAGTGTGCACGATGATTCTCAAACCTTTGTTGCACTGTAAGTTTTGTTTCAAAAAATTTCATTATACTTAACTGAATAACATTCATACTAGAATTTTTTTGTTTAATTCCCTGTCATATAGCATACAGTTATTTGTTAAAGTTATACAATGAATTATCCTAGTCTGAAAGGGGCAAGGGTTGGGGGGTAATATTGAAGTGAAAGTACAGTATGCCATATTTTTTTGACTTGCTCAAAATGAAAGTATGAGTCAATCTTATACCAATCATGAAGTTATCTGTGCTTCTACAGAGAAAGGTCAATGTTCTTGAAGAGTTTGTTCCTTTACTCTTATTCTAGAGAGTTCATTTTATTTGAGATGGTACCCCTATGTAATATTTGAACAACTTTGTTGAAATGAAATTCATATTAACAGACACAGCTTTGATGGACTCTCTTCACTAAAATGTGTTCTGCCATTTCTCTTTTTGTTAATTTATTCATTTATATTTTCCTGAAGGGCTTGTATCAGAGTCTGAACTTGAAGACTTGGTCATGTCATGACAGCCTACATGCGTCTAGTGTGAAGAAAGAGAAATTGTTTTAGGTAAAGCTGGGTTATTGACTTACATAAGATCTGGTGCAATCCACCTGTCATTACACCTAAAACAATCCGGTCTGATGATAAAAGAAATTACGCGGATTTCCCATATTGCATCCCCCATTAATGGGGCCTTCCTGAGTCTGGAAATGATCAATTATGATTCATGTTTTATCGAGGTCGTCTGTTCTGCCGCTTCCTTTCGATCTATCCTATCCTATATTTTCTTTGGCATTGTGATTGGTGTAGGTGCTAGGCTACGCACCGGAATACGCTTAGCTGCGATCTCACTTTGCTTTCAATTTATTAACGTGATCTGTAGTCATCTTTGGAATTTTCTGTAACTTTTAGAGCAGGCCTGTGTTAGAGTGAAACTTGTGCAATTATGGGGAACATTATTGCCATTATTTGTGGGATGTTGCATTGTGACTAACTGCTCTCAGACCTTTCGACTCTTAGGTTAATTATTGTGATTTGATGGTTATTGCTACTTTCAGTTTTTAATAATCATTATCAGGAGTCATTTATATGGAATGAACGTTGGAATAGCCTTATAATGTGATTACATGTATGCTGCTCTTTCATTACTTGGGATGCGTTCATAAGCAGTTTGTATGCCATCTTGTTAACTTACCGACGTACGTGCAGGGATTCTTGTATTTTGACTGATCGCTATAAAGCAGCTATAATTTCAGTGCAATTAACTGTGATTCGATGGACATGGATACTCTCACTATTTAAAAAAATATCAAGAGCTCATCAGAAATCTAGTTCAATAATCTACTAGACAGTCAAGGGATAGTGTTGGACAGACTCCATGTTGTAAAGCTACCCTTTTTCATTTGGAAGAGTTTGTATATCGCAGTGTGCAGTTCTATTCGCTGGGTGTGTACATTGTAACTAAATGCAGTCTCGGCCATAAATGCAAATTGCTATGATATAAATGGTAGTAGATACTTGCAACTTTTAACCATTTTTACGGGGAGCCTGTCATAAAGCTACTTGGATTGTATGGATGTATTTCAGTGCGAATGCCATTTCATAGCTGACTCACATATTTGCTGAATCTTGTGTTTCCCTCTGTTTGCCTGTCTGCATTCTCCATCAGTGCAATTTTCCTTTGGAATTCTAAATGGAGACATTTCCTTGGTTTATCTAACCATCAATGATTGAAGTCTTTGAATTATTCATCCTTCTGGTGCTTGTGGTTTTTAGACGCAGGAGTCCCCTAAACACCACCTTCAATGCAATAAAGGAACTCTGAATATCTAAGTCTGCAACATTAATGCTGTGTTTGGAAGTTTGGGTGCATCATTTGATATAAATTGGTGGATATTTTGTGGAGCTGGATCTAAAGCCAAGACGACCATTGCAAACGTTTTCTCAGCAGCATCTGCAGTCACATCCTGAATTAGTGTGACTTACGGATATATCAAGAGGAGATACACTTACTTAAGAATGTATACTAAGAAAGGGCAGAAACGTGTGTTACGTAAGTCATATTGCAATCGGCTAACTAATAAAATGTGTATTGAGCTTCATGTGAGCTTCTGTAGATTGTCTATGGAACATATTCTAGGATATTAAAGTGACTTATTCGCAGCTGGTGGTTCAAAATGATTGGGGGAAAAAAAATTACATGATTTTCACCTTGATTGCATTTAAGCAACTGGTTTGAGTCATACTTTATCAGGGAACTTGGCATTGATATGCGGTGTATCTGTATACCCAGAATTGTTTTGAACTAACTACTTTGACACCATGCCAATAAAATGTGTCATGCTTTCTCTATGTTCTTATTTTCCAAACACTTTTCATGTATGTGGGGGCTCATGTTTGGGCTAAAATCACGAAAGACTTCTCACTTCAATGAAGTTGGAGTACAACCTGTCAATTTTCATCGTTACCATAGAAACCCGACAATGTATTTCAAGAGTTGATTATTCACATTTTAGGCAGTGGATCGTTTATTTACCCGGAATCCATCTCTTGTTTATTTTTCCGCAGCTTCCAACCCTCCGCCCAAGCCACCAGCCCCAGCCGCTGGTATGGTGAAACCTCCAAGGAATATGAACATGGGAGGAGGAGGGGAGGAGGAGGAGGAGGAGGAGGAGGAGGAGGAGGAGGAGGGGGAGTCAGTGACCTCAATGACATGCTAGATGACCTTGTAGGCACTGTCACACCATCTACGTAAGTCAAGAAATATTTATTTCAGACTACCGTATTTGCCGGCGTAAAGGCCGCAGTATTTTTGGAAGAGAGAAGTCGGGGTGCGGCCTTTACGCCGAAACAGTAAAAATCGCAAGTCAAAACAGCACGTCCATTATTTGTAGTCAACTTTATACAAAAAAATATATTAACAAAATTGACTTGAAAACACATCGGACAAGATCTAGTCTGAACCACGTCAGCAGCAAATTTGAAGAAGTCATCTTTTTAATCGTTGTGCAACCAGAAGAAGAAAGCTGACCAGAAACTCGTATTAAAAATCGTACTTGTAAAAATGTCCTTAGACAGCGCACGGCCCGGGTACGTAACCAAAATCATACCTCGCTCACACACTCTGTGGTGGGGAGCTACGGGGCTGGGAGTTGCCAACAAATCCAACGCACCTTCGGAGATTCACAGCGCGCAATCGTCGGTGTTCTTAACTTTTTAGTAAGATAATTCTGAATTATAATTGAGACTATCTAATTAATTAAAGCAACAAACTAACCTCGGTAGATCTCTAATAACAATACAAAAGCTTGTTTATTTTCTCCATTTGGCGGTACGATAGGGGTAAGACCGGATAACATTATATGGCCACAGCTTGGTTATGGCAGGATTATATTAGTGCCGACTCGCTGCATGCAAGCTAAAGATGGCCATTCAGGTTTCTGTATGCATGCGAAGCGCCCTCTAGTGTCCAATGAATATGCTAATCTGCCTAAAAATCGATGAAGATTTGCTAAATTACGATAATTTTTTAGGTAAACTTCCTGTAAATTTATAAAACATTTGATAATTTTGGTATTAGTTTGTAGGAAAAATAGAGTTCTACGAGAAAATTACGATTATTTTCTTTGGTCCGTTTTTTTTTTTTCTCTATGAAATGTCAAAGTTGGAGGTGCGGCCTATGCGGCGGTGCGGCCTTATCGCCAGCAAATACGGTATAGAATTTCATTTCTATTTTTCTCATAGAAATTGATATGATTACCCTAGTGTTAATACATATAACTCTAAAACGATGGTTTCTGACTTTTCGACAGCATATGTACCGGTATATGTGTCGAAGAAAGAGAGGCAACTGGATTAAAAACAGTAAGTCCAGGTTATCACCTTCAACATTACAGACTACATACCAGATGATTGTATCAAGTTGACAACTGCATGGATTAGACCAAGTATCAGAGTAAATGGCAATTTTAGTTTCGATTATGATAATTATTCTAAGATCCTTGATAATGTATGAGGCATAAAAATTAATGACCACATGTTGGTTAAAAAAAAAAATAAAGAATAATTTTCTTTGCAAATGGTGTTTCTTGGTGCCGAATCACTTTCATATTTGTTTTTGTTTTTGATCTACTTATATGTCATATTGATCAAAAGAGCCATGAAGGAACCATGTCATTGTTAAATAGATGTCACTGTGCATACATGTGCTAGATCTTTTGTGTGGTTGTAATAGGAGAAACATACCTCATGATCTCAAACTAAAGCAACCCCTTATCTTGTTTCAATGAAAGTTTTGTGACTAAATTTGATTTCAAATTAACTTCATTATCTTTATAATTTACAGTTACACAGTGGAGACAACTACCAAGACTTACACCACACACTCCCAACCACCAGTACACTCCCAGCCCCCCAAGGCCCAGCCTGCCCCGCCTACCCACTCTGCCCCGCCCACTCACTCTGCCCCGCCTTCCCAGCAGCAGCACCAGCAGCCAATGAGTAGAGTGATGACAAACAGCACCCATGCCCCGCCCCAAGCCAGTCAGCCTCAGATCAGTCAGCCACCTCTGAGGACCGCTTCATCAGCTACCAAGGAACTGGATGATCTCATGGCATCACTCTCAGACTTCCAGGTAAACCAGTGCTAGCTAGAGTGGAAACCTCCTAATAAAAAGAAAGTTGAGTTCTGGGAAGGGTGAACAATAATTTGTGCGCGTTATTGCATTTTGCAAGTGTAGAAGAACATCAGATAAAAAATGTTCCCTAAAAAGCGTAGCTCTTCAAATGCCCTAATATTCTAAATATGGCATGAAACATCATAAACATTGGGACAGATTTTGTATGCCACATGGTCGTGTAGTCCCATATACATCTTTCTGTGTACAGTGCTTGTAACTTTACCAAGACTGGGCCAAATTTCTTATCATTTTGATGATTCCAGAACCTAGCAGTACACACCAATACTTATATGCTAGATGATCAACCTTTTCTGATCAATTCCACAACGTTTCTTTCACAATGCAATCGCATGACCAGAACTCAACTTTATCTTTAAGAAGGCCAGATATTCTGCTTTGCAAGGACGAAGATGCAATCTAATCAATTCTGATCAAATAGGTCATCTGTTATCCTGTTATAAAACTGAAGAGAAGCCTCCATGGAAACATCATATTGCATTATCAGGATCAATCTGATTTCTTGTACATGCATTGTATTCAAAGACAAGGTTCTCTCCCAGGAGGCATCAAGGGACTCCACCTTGAGGCACCCTTGAGGCAGCCCTGCATGGCTCTCTAACCTTGATTTAAGCCAATATAGCTGCATGTTTTACGAAAGATGAAGACAAATCTTTAATGTAGTGGTGGTTATTTTACCTGACTGCTAATAAAGCATAAATGCTTGTTAGTATTAAGTAACCAGAGGACCAATGGCTTTAGGTCGTCTCCGAGAGACCTGGTAATGAGGATTAATGCCTTACCAAAGGGCACTAGCCCATCGCCTTGGTTTCGAACTTGGTTCACTGGATTACGAGACCACTGCTCTACCAACTGAGCTATCGCGCCTCTTTAAAAATTTAAATAAAGTACATGCAGTGTGTTTATATTAAAAAGTCATAACCTGAATGGATATGTGTGAAAAGCCAGTCAATTAACTCACAACTTTTTCTCTTTATTTTAACCGTAGCTGTCACCAACCGACACAGTGCCCCCTGAACCTGCCTACGCCCAGCCTCACAAAGTCACCCCACCCCCGAAGCCCGCCCACCCTGCCCCTAACATGGTTAACATCAACAACACTCCTGCACAGCACCCAGCCCCACCAGCTCAGCAGTACCCACCCCAGCACCCAGCACCACCTGCCCAGCACCCTGCTCCACCGGCCCAGCAGAGCTATGCCCCTTCCCAGCCCAGTCAGCTGGATTCTATGTTGGGTCATCTCAACTCTGATGTTAGCAGGCAGGGAGTGCAGACCATGGCTAAGGGAATGTGTGCAGCATGCCAGAAACCTATAGCTGGACAGGTAAGTTGACAAGCAATGAGTGAATTCAAGTTGGGTGTTTATAGGGCTGGTGTTAAGGCTTCCTGTAGCTAGTGTTATCGATTTTGCAAATTATCGTTTGCTGAACTGACCTTTGTGGCTGGTGTTAATATTTTACGTACAAATGTACTAACACTAACCCCTAGGGATTAAGCAAATGTTGATTTCCAACTTTTTTTAATGACAGTTTTACTGTATCATATGTGAATGAATCTCAAGGATCCATTTCCAGTTTCATGTTCTACAGGAAGTCTGGCCGAAAAAAGCCAGCATGATCGATGTCCAGTATTCTTTAGAGCTATAGATACATGTAGTTAAGGATGTTCAGCTCTGATAGCAACAAAGAGTCTTGATACCAAATAAACCTCTGTAATCACACTGCGGTAAAGAGGCTCAGAAAACACTTATGGAATTACATGAACCGGTACTTTTGAAAGGCAATTTATCTTCTTAAATGATCCTAGAATGAGTACTTGTTGGTACAGAAGAATTGGAGTGTAAAATGATACTGTATATATCCTGAAGAAATTGATCTTGCTTTATATTGAATGAAATGCACACCTACAGCTCTTTTTAAAAACATTTCTTCCCTTGAATACATTGTAGCAGCTTTAATTGGTATTAGAAAGATCTTGCTACCTACTTGACACTAGATGAATTTCTTTGTCTTTTCCAGGTTCTGACAGCATTGAGTCAGATGTTGTTTTCAGTGCACATATTCTGTTTATGCTCATTGTCAGAGACAACTTGCAACTCAAGTATACATTAAATCTATCTGATGTATATTTCTCTCTTTTTTCCTCAGATAGTAACAGCCTTAGGACAAACGTGGCATTCAGAGCACTTTGTTTGAGCTCAGTGTCAGAAAAAGTTTTTAAACTAAAGTAGACAAGAGCATGAATCCATATTCTTCTATCAGGTGTGGTATTCAGTGCATAAACTTTGCTTCCTCTTGTTGTCATAAAGAACTTGCTACGTAAGCACCTAATATCTATCCATATATTTCTCTCTTCTTCCCTTAGATTGTGACAGCTTTAGGACAGACGTGGCATTCAGAGCACTTTGTTTGCGCTCAGTGTCAGAAAGAGCTCGGTTCTCAGACGTTCTTTGAGAGAGACGGACAAGCGTTCTGTGAGGAGGACTATCATAACCTCTTCGCTCCTAAATGTGCCTACTGCCATGGACCTATCAAGGACGTAAGTCTTCCGCCTCGGTCAGATATGACCCGGCAAATCCGTGGTGTTTTTCTAATGATGACGTAAAGTATGATATGCATTCCTGGGACCCGTTCACACAGCCTTTTTTCAATGACAAATGACAAAAATCAGTGACAAATCTGCTGATAACCAATCACAAGCAAGGATTTCACTAGCTTATAATAAACACTGTCATATGTCACTAATGACAAGTTTTGTGAAACGTGGCCCTGGTTTCTATATCCTATAACACAGAGTTCAGTGAATATACACAGAGGATCTCTGTTGCGTGCAATTGCCATTCATTCACACTTTTTTTTAACACCGCTTTGTTTTGTTTTGTTTTTCATGCGGTTAACTGCATCATATCTGAACAAACCTTCTTTAGAGCTTTTTTGTTTGTTTGAATATCTTTTTCTATCTTTGTTCTTCACATTCTGTCAGTTTACTTGTCCTTTTTTCTGTTTTTTTTAATTGTGATTTTCTTAGCTTTGACAGATTCTTTCTCTATTTGATTATGAAATATCGTCCATTGAAAGCTTGTAGGGCATTAATACTCTTCTGGATTGTAAACAGACGATATGTTGTATGTTGATTAAGTATTGTACCGAAAGACATTCATTTTTATGATCAAGCGTTTCTTTAGACATAAAATTAAAAACGTACCTTTGATTAGCAAATCTTTGCAAAGATAAAATTTCAAACAGTGAACAGACTCTCAAAGTTTATATATTGTAACTAGATTTACCCGTACTTGTTTTTTTTGCTAAATATGTGCTTTAAAATTGCATCCATCAAGCTATTACACGTGTCATCTCTTTCCCCTCCTTGCAGAGGTGTGTGACAGCTTTGGATAAGACCTGGCATCCAGAGCACTTCTTCTGCGCTCAGTGCGGTAAGACGTTCGGTGAGGATGGCTTCCATGAGAAAAACGGCCGAGCGTACTGTAAGGAGGATTACTTTGATATGTTTGCACCTCGGTGCGGAGGATGTAACAGAGCTATCATGGAGAACTTCATCACAGCATTGAATGCACAGTGGCATCCAGAGTGCTTCGTATGCTCAGTAAGTCATGATCATTCAAGTTTTGCGTCAGTATTCAATTAACTGCTTAGGTCATATTTTACTCAGCTTTGGGCTTACAATTGGTATTCAGTTGAAACTTAAAGGTATAGACAAGTTTTGGAAACGCCCCGCTGTCAACAAAATGAAATGGGAGCTCTTATTACCAATCATGTGAAAGAATATATATTTTGACGAATACGTGATGATACAAATTTTGCCAGGAAACCGCCTACTTATTGATATATTTGGTAAGTTATCATATTTATCCAGCCTAGATAGATATCGCGTAGTCCCATATAATCTTTCTGTGTACAGTGCTTGTAACTTTACCAAGACTGGGCCAAATTTCTTATCACTTTTATGATTCCAGAACCTTGCAGTACACACCAATACTTATATGCTAGATGATCAACCTTTTCTGATCAATTCCACAACATTTCTTTCACAATGCAATCGCATGACCAGAATTTTTCTATACCTTTTAAGTTGGCTTACTAAAGTAAAATACCTAGATTTGATTTGAATAAGACTTTAGCTATCTACTTAGCTAGACTAAATGCTGAGTAAATACAGACAAAATTATATTATTGAATTGAATATGGGCCCTGGTATCTGTATTAGAAGATTTGGTAAGAACTATTGAAGGATGTTTTTTGTTAGCTGTTTATTTTAATTTAGGTTGTTTTCATGTAACACTGAAATTATATATTGAATCTTGAATCTTGAATTATATAAATAATAGTATCAGCTTTTAGAATGTATAGAAGCAAACAAGAGCTTGTACTTTTCATTTGTTAAACACTGAAATTGTACTTTATTATTATTATTTTAAAAATGAAAAACTATGCAATTGAAGTGAAAAATCATATAGATAGTCTGATGAACATGATCGATTTAAGAGACAGCTTTAATATATGTTGTATAATATTGGTATTTTATTATCTTCAATGTGAATGTCTGAAAAGAAAAGGAGCCTTATCCGATATCTGAATCATTTAGAAGTTCTCTTTCTCTTAATTCCAAGTCCTTTTAATAGAGCAATAGTTAAGCGGACAGTACACATGAAGCTGATTTGAAACCTACCGTGGAAACTAGTAATGCAATTTATTAGTGCAGCAGTACCACTTTAATTTCATCAAAATCATCTGAGAACTAATTCAAACAATGTTTTGATCATTTTCTCCTCCATTAGGACTGCAGAGTACCTTTCAACGAGGGTGATTTCTTTGATCATGACGGAGTCCCATACTGTGAGATCCACTACCATGCTGTACGGGGCTCCCTCTGTGCCGGCTGTAACAAGCCAATCACAGGCCGCTGCATCACAGCCATGCAACGCAAGTTCCATCCGGAGCACTTTGTCTGTGACTACTGCCTGAAGCAGCTCAACAAGGGAACCTTCAAGGAACAGAACGGCAAGGCATACTGTCATTCATGCTTTGTCAAGCTCTTCAACTAGATAGCTTTGATAGAGGGCGGTCTGTAGGGGTCACAGCTCAAGAGACCAACAGCCCATGAGACCGACAAGAGTCTTGCAGATCTTCTGAAAGGTTATCTTTAGGGTCAACGAGACTGACAATGCCCATCTGGTGGACTTGCTGAAAAGCTCTCTGAGAGTCCACAGGACCAACAGCTCATAAGACGGCATATCAGTCTTGTGGTCCTGCTGACACTTTTTATAAAGGTTCAGGTGGGCGTTTCACAAAGCCTTTTTCAATGACAAATGACAAAAATCAGTGGCAAATCTGCTGATAACCAATCAGAAGCAAGGATTTCAGTAGCTTAAAACAAAAACTGTCATTTGTCACTGATGACAAGTTTTGTGAAACGCCCCCTGGAGTCTAACATTGTGAGTCTGGTGAGCTGTTGATCTCCTGGGATGTCCCGGTCCTAAGGTTTCCTTGGTCATGTATCATACATGGAGACTTCCCTAAGATGTTGACTTGGGACACATTTCACAACGCCTTTTTTAATGACAAATGACAACAATCAGTGACAAATCTGCTCATAAACAAGGATTTCCCTAGCGTATAGCAAAAACTGTCATTTGTTACTGATGACAAGTTTTGTGAAATGGGGCCATGGTCTTCATTTTTATATTTTGCTTGTAGAAAAGTCAGTCAGTCTACCTACAATAGATAGTGAATGCTATGATAAAATGATGTCTGAATGGTGCTTGGAGCAACTTAAGGAATGTTTCATTCCTCTTCATCTACACTGGGTTGGAGAGACAATGGAAAATAAATGCCTCGTCTAATAAAACCAGGGCCCACTTTCACAGAACTTTTCATCAGTGACAAATGATAATGTGGTGAAATTCTTTCTTCTGATTGGTTATCAGCTGATTTGTCACTGATTTTTGTCATTTGTCATTGAAAAAAGGGCTTTGTGAAACGGGGTCCCAGGTGTGTGCAATTAAGTCTTACAATAAATTGCATTGGATCACTGACTTGATTTAATTACAAACCACATCTTTGGGGAACTTATCTTAAATTTTCAGAAACGATAGAATATATACATGTAGATAATTTGCTCTCAGTTGTTGTAAGATAGGAATTATCAGAACACAAAAGATCCTGAAATTATCTGAATTTTGATACAGTTGAAACATTGTAGTCCAGGCAAATGATATGTCTTCTGATTAGTGATACATTTCTGTCTATCATTAGTATACTTGCAAAATAAATGCAAGTCATTTTATGTTGTAAGAGATCATGTGTGACATTTTAAAAATCTATTTCAGGAGTTGAAATCTTTTCTCTCTGGTTGGGAGCTCGTTTCTTGATCTTGACAAAAAAGATGGAATTCTTTCTCTATTCATTGTCACAATTCTTTGCCTTTTTTTATCTGTCATAATGTTTATAATGAATGAATGAATGATATATTACTGAATATTACAGTACTGTCTAAGTTAATGTTTACAATGATAAATTATATATTATGTCTTGCGCATTGCTACATTTTAGCATTATATGACAATGCTAATTCAAAAACTGTATATATTTTGACATCTTTCTTTTCTTCTATTTTATTGATATGTAACATGCTTTATGTTAATTGATTTTTTTTTCTTGATATAGCTGCTTTCTACTTGCATCCATATATTTTTCAGTTCAATTCTACAAATTATACAGAAGAGGCGATAGAAATGATTGTAACAGAATACCAAATATATAGAGAGAGCTATTTCTTCATTTTTATGAGTAGTAGTGTACACCGTACATGTATATAGAGTGTTTGAGAACTGCATTTGCTTTTTATATCCTTTTCAAGGAAAATATCCTCCTCACCTTCCTTCCTATCAACACTTGTTCGCTTGTTTTCCCTCCTGTTTTTCCCTCCTGTTTTTAAAAAGAATAATGTACCACTGCCATTATTGATGTAATATTAGTACAGTTCTTCCAAAAAAAATGCACTTTTAGTTTTGATGACCTTGTGTTGTCGGAGGTAGAATCACGAATCAGCGACTGGTAGTAACTACAGTTATGATTTGTTTACACTCATCATTAGGACTGGAGTGGGAAAAGACTAAACTCTGGATATTCACAAAGTGAAATTTAGGTTGTTTTATAGAGTAAATTTTATCTTACATGAGAACCACTCTTACATAACAAATAGGGATAGGGGAATTACATGTATTTGTGAACGAATAGTATAATTTATGGAACAAACATTCATTTGATACAGTATTTCAGTAGATGCTTTATGATGTTAAATGTTCAGACTTTTAACAATTGGGCCATCCCCAATAAAGAAGTCAATTGAAATGGAAGGAATGTGATTTGCTGTGCAGATCAGTTAGACACCTTTAATTTAGATTATGAAATGTTCATGAGAAGTTTGGTTTTAGTTACTAGGAGACTGAACATTAGAGATCGATATGAAAAGAATTAATTTGTTTTTTTCTTTTAAACAGAATGAACAAATCCAATTATTAAAAAAAGTTTTTGTTTGTTTGTTAAAATTGGCTCTACACTTTCTCTATTTTTCATGTTACATGAAGAACATTATTTCTATACAAAAAAACCCTGATTAAAAAACATACGCTGATGAGGTTTTAGGAAGTGGTTCTACTGTTTCTGTTGTGGTTACAAGTGCCTTGTATAGAGTAAACTTGGAAAAATATTATCTTCCTGTTATTAAATGATTTCATTATTTGTCATGCAAGTTTAATACTCAAAAGGAATTTTTTACATGTCTTCAGATTTATCAGAACAAAATTATATTTTCATGTAAATTCTGTTTGCAATTGTATTTTTTGTGTCTCTTTAGCAGTTGTACATGTATTAATGGCGAAAAAAAAGATTTACGTATATAATACTTTCTGCTTTTATGTAACTACATGTAATTTGGTTTATTTCCTTTTTCTTCTTCTCTCAATGCAATACCTGGAATCAGACCTATACTCACCATGTACGTGTATATGATTAGCGTGTACAGCTAAAAGTGATGAACTGTCTTCTTTAAAGATATTCTCCACTTCTGGATATTAACAAACACGATACAAAAAGCTGTTTTATTTAACAAAAACAATATATAATTATGTATTAAATATGAATCTGCAATTTCTATTTCTCTGAATTTACAGATATGGAAGAGTCATTAATTACACTGATGCATCAAATCGTCCCTATTTTCACGAAGTGACGGTAGTGAGGAAAATCGTCACGCAAAGTGAATGCAATTTTTTTTCACTACCGTCACTTCGTGAAAACAGCGACGAAATTTATGTGGCTGTTCCAGGGCCTCACACCTTTTATTTTCTTTTGAGGGGGTTTGGAGTCATATTTTGGTCTGTGTGCTCCTGATTCTTGTTAAGATTGGAAATCGTTTAGAAACCTAGAGTAAAATCTTATTAAGAGAGGCATGTGTACTGGTCCTAGGCCGTTTGTCTGGAGGAGGCACATTTACTTTCTTACCTTTTTCTCTTTTTTTTAATGCATTACAGATATTTTTTGCTGATGTAATTTACCATTATGGATGGACTTATCATTATGAAATAAAGAATATGATAGCAAATGCTTTGACCTATACAAGATGTGTACTGTGTGATTGGTTTTCATTCTTGAGTGTTTGTTTTAAAGTTCTTGCATGTAAGTACTAGTACAGTGTAAGTGTGCCCTAAACAAATTGAATCAGTTTTAGCTTATGGAATTAATACCGCTGTTTAATTCATTCTGTTATGTCAGTATTTTCTTCCTTTTTGTTCCACGTTTACATTTTCTTTTTCATATACATTCTGTTTCATTCCCTCCCTCCACTCACAGATTTCCTTGCAATTGATGCCATCTCTGACCTCTCTTTCCAATCTTCCTTGTCCTTCCACACCATCATTTCATCTTCTTTTCCTTAAAAGTTTTTTTTATTATTTTATATATCACCCCTAATGATAGTAACTATGACATTGATCTATAAAGTAGAAAATGTAATGGCTTTTGCCTTTTCTACATATATATACCACTTTTACAGTTATTGTTATCATTATTGATGATATGTGCCAGGGCGACAGGGCAGGTATTCAATTCAATACTTGGCATACGGTAAGTAAGAAATATACTAAGTAAATGGCTAAGCTAAGAAATTTACTTATCTCGTATTCAAATCACATTTTAGACTTATACTTACTGTATGTAAGACAAAATCTAAGTAAAAAACTAACTGATAAGTATACCTACCAATCGAGGCCTCCTGATAATTGACTTAAGTCTGGTAGGGAGCTGTCTTAAATTTAGGGTAAAATACTTAGCCAAAAGTTTGAATTGAATACCAAAATTGGCTTAGTATTTTATCTAAGCCAAATACTAATTAAAAGCTTACATTTTGTACTTAAGTATTGAATTGAATACGGGCCCAGGCTCCTTACTGTTTTACAGCAAAAAACCCTTCTCATCATCATACTTAAAACCACTGCAGTTTACAGCATCAGATCTAAACAAGGCTTTATCCATACTTATCAGATATCAAACTCTCCTTTCTTCACTACTCTCCTGTTCTTTGTTTCCTCTTCCTCCATTCCAGATCTAATAAATCACCCCAACCACACAACTTCACACAAATGATAAAATGATCTACGACCACGTTTTAAGATGGCTCTCAAATAATTACTTTTATTCAAGCGTTATGGTGTATTGATCATATACATGTATAATACAGGTATAGAAAATCCACTATCTTACATTTATTTACACAAGATATTGGGCCTTTCATTCAATAATATCAAAATGAAGGGCTTTGTCATAAACTACATCAATCAAAGAACTTTTGTAAAAAGGATGCATCATAAAAATGTTATGAAAATCTGGTATGTTTGGTTTGTTTGGCATAGTTCATTAAACGTGTCTACATTTCTATAAGGAATGTACTATGGGATATTCCAAACACCATGTACCTGTGTCATTGAATAGTTTGCCGTAATAATTGGTAAAAAGAAATATAATTCATTTAGAGTTCAATTTAAAAAAACAATATTGAAGGAAAAAGGAATTGTTTTGAAAATTTGTTGCATTTGTCTGTATTTAGTAAGGTGTAAATAATAAATACAGTACAAGGAATTCACAATATAGTGATTGGCACTTTGAATAGCTCTTAACAACAGGCATTTATGACCGACTGAAATGTCATAAATATTGGCTGAACCAAATCTGCATGTATGTCTTCAATGAAAGCGTTGGAATGAATGCAAGCATCTGCTGAAAAAATATCTCACCTTCTATCCTGGTATGATTATGAAGAATTAAATGAGAAGTTACCGTTTGAAATTTGATTGATATCTTATTAGTAGTAGGAGGATCTTGTAACATGTTTCATAGTAAAATATCTTTCAGTTCATCATAAAAGATTAAATAATGAGTACTCCATAAAAACAGATTCTTGAAAGTAACACAAACATATCACAATTACCATTTTTACATGAGATTAGAGAAATTTGTTAATGGTTTCATAAAAAGCTTTGTTATATTAATAACATAGCTGTCAAAAATAGTGGATACATTTCTCTTTCCAAGGCAAATAAGGAAAAAAGATATTTTACAAAGAGAATTAATACTTTGAAGTTAAAGTTCTGAAGGACATACAGATAATAGTTGATGAAGCTGGTAACTTAATGAGTACCTGGTCTGTTACAGTGAAGAGTGCATCACAGTGCAGGTGCTGCAGGATGTGTACAATTACATGTATGTCTGTTTTTACAAAAACAAACGGTTAAAAAACTATATTGTGCTTAAAAAAAAAGGAATCCATATTCCTTTGGAACATCATATGTCTATTTTTTGTTATCTTTACAAAGCAAACATACTTTTAAAATGCTCTTTCATATTTGTGAAGATGTATTGATAAGCAAGAGTTAAAATCAAATAGTGCTTAAGAAAGAAAATTGATTGCTCTTTTAAAATTACAATTGTACCTAAAATTATGAAATTGTAGACTTTTACAATGAGTATTACCTTGTAAACAATTTATAATCTGTAATTGAAGTAAGATATGTATATAACACTCATCAAAGCCTCCTAAAAAATAATCAAAATCCTTGATTTATCAACAAAGCAGCATCTGTGTAACACAACGCATAAAAATCAATTTTTATTTTCTTTTGCGACTGTTCTCGTATATAAAGACATATCACACAGCAAGTCCATGTTCTGGTGACAGCAATACACAACAAACAAGAAGTTTATATTCACCAACTCTGCGCAATACACCAAAATAATCTTGCCAAAACCAAAGCCTGTTTTATCTCTAGTTAAACTGCAGCTCCAAACATTATCTTGATTAATATGAGTCACCATGTTTCTTCATTCAAACACCCAAAATGGATTGCGTACCGAGAAAATTCTCAACTATGGAAGATATCTTATGAATACTAAAACTCCTGGAATACACATCAAGAAAATATCAGTTTACATGTACAAACACAAATATACCTGTACCTCATACTTGGCAAAAACCTTGAGAAAACCTCAACTCATGCAGAAATGATTTCTTGAATAGAAACAGAGGAACCAATGCAGCTATATTGTAACGTCTTTAGAATCCATAATTTTTCCTCTACCAGGAGCACCTTTAGAAAACCTCACAATCTGCAGCATCGTAAAACACTATTATTTACATATTTACATCAACATCATCAATGTCTATGGATGTTTTTAAACTCTTCTGTAAGTGCATGTTGAAGATAGTATTATCTTGGTATACATGGTATATCTGCCAATGATGTCTGCCGGGTTAAAAAATGATGTTAAGCAGTCGAAAAATCAACAAAGATTCAATATGTTTCCTCTAATGTAAGGAACGTTAAAAGATTAAAAAGGAAAATAAATTGTGAAAGAGTTTTAGTGGAAAGAAAGACCAATGAAACCATTTCCATTGGTTCTTGTCAATTCAGTACTATTCTGAAACAGAAAAATTTGGATAGAATTAGACAAAAAATAGTCTTTCTGGCAAGAAAAGATAAGAAAAAGACGTGAAAAGAATGTAATTAAAAAAAACTATAAGCTGAAAAAAGTAATATCAATACTATAAATAGTAATATTGTGCCATATAGTGCTTATTCTTCAAACCCCCACACTTGCAGGTTTCTATCTTTAAAAAAAAAAAAAATTTATGTTTGCAGGTTTCTATCTTGTTATCATTAGGTCTCTTCGGTGCTATATCATTTCACAAAATCTTCTCAAAATTAAGTTTAATTCTTGACTCTAAATAATTCATATGAAACTAAAACTAAACTAAACATAGGGATTAAGAGATATAAAATATATGGCTAAAGAAAATTTAACAAAAAAGGATATTGCACTAAATGAAATATTTACAAACAATTTTCCCTCGCATTACAGATGTTATTGTGTAGTCTGAAAAAAGAGTAAATAAATTGTTATCAATAAGTACTGCGGACATAGTAGACTACATATTCATAATTTGTACTGGTAGGAGGGAACCTTACAAGAGAAAGCACTGGAACTACAAACATCTTTAAGACTAGTGTTAGAATGGTTCTTGACATTTACTTCTACAAACATTACAAGTTCCCGACTAGAATATTGCTTTGTGATACAAACATACAGAGGGTAAAAAAGAAGAATGAAAAAAAGAAAATATGCAAAGATGAGGGGTATGGGAGAAAAAGGAATAAGAAAGGCTAAGAATGGATGAAGAGCTTGATTTCAGAGAGAAACATGTGGTGTGGAATAAGGAATGCGAGAGAAGTTAACTTTCTAATTAATCAAGTTTTAAGGCACATGCATTTCAAGGGGAATTGAAAAATCGACCATTCAAGCTTCCAAAGAGGGAAACAGAGAAGAAAAAAAGAATAATTCATAAAATCAAATGAAAATTACAAATTCAGGTCTGTCTTTCAAAACACATTTTTCCTTCACTTACCCATATAATAAACGGGTAGCGACGTATGTCATCACAATTGTACTCATCAAACTTAAAATAAAGCGGAGGCTTCTGGTGTTATGGACTGGCATGCTTTGAAAAAAATGAGAAAAAGGAAATGCAACAGACTTTTGTTTTGAACATTGAGAAGAATTGTAAGCATGGAGGTTCTCCATAAAGATGGAGTCTATTGCTTAGTTGTCAGGGTGTTTTTGCTGTTGCTCAGAGAGACATTATTGCTCTTGCAATCCTTGAGAGTTCCAGATCCTTTTAATGAAGACCTGAGGTAGATACTTGGAGTTGTTTGTATTGTAGTCATAGAGAATTATTTTATCTTATTGAATTATTTGCTAATTCCAATGATTTGTTACAATTTTGAATACATTCAGAGTGAACTTAAAGCACTTTAATACATGTGTTCCAAATTTACATATAAACATAAAGTATGTGGTTGATTTCATAATTTGCTTTGGTCACAAATGTCATCATACAAACTTAACATTTTGTAATAATGCTATGTAATGTTTTTCATTAGTCATTTTGAAGTAATGGTTTTACTTATGCAAGTTATGTTATTAAATGTCTTTCTAGCAGGTGCTTGTATCATCTAAAAATTGAATAGCTTCCCACAAATAGATGTATTTGACATCTTAGCAATGTGCTGCTTATTTCGTTTTAACAATGTACCATTACATTATCAAAAAGAGAAGTAAAATGGCTAGTGTCGTTTAACACCTTAGTACCGCAACTTGCACTTGAGTAAAAAAGAATGATCCTTGCAAGTGTTTGAATTTCTACAATGTACTATTAAATTATCAAAGTAAAAATGCTAGTATTGTTTCATCTAGTACTGGTGAATAGCTATCAGTACTGCATTCATCTACAGACCAATATATCTGAAGACTAAGACTGGTATTAACCACTTCTATTGAAGCCTGGAAGCATAAAGGATTGTATTTTCAATACAAGTTCATAGAGGAGATGTCATGCTATGATGATTGGGAATCATTCTTGATCTTGATAGACTGTGAATTAGAGCAGTCAACGCGCACTCTGAGAAACATGACATCATCCTTGACATAGTCCCGGGTCTTGAGGAAGTTGTGGGAGACGAAGGTCGGGTAGCCGTAGCCCAGGACGTGGACATCCTTGCTGGGTCTCTGGAAGTTCTTCCACGTAGGATCGGGTGTGAAGGATTCCTTGATGTGCATGCGTTTGTTAGGATCCTCGTTCTGATCCAGGAGCGTGAAGGAGATGGGGAAGGTGAAAGGCCACCGAAGCAACGAGTCAAAGTCACCGTTGGTCACCCTGATGTAGACGGAGACGTGCTCCCCCTCCCCGGAGCCGTTACCACTGGGGAAGATGGACACCTGTAGCTTGTAACCATAGCGACCAGTGAAGAATGGAGGACTGACCAGCTCCACCTCCTCCTCGTTCTTGGCCTTGGAGAACTTCTCAGCGTAGTCGGTGATACGCCAGAGGAGTTGGCCATCGGTGTTGAGAGACATGGTATCTAGCTGACCTTGTAGGTGCTCTATGGTCTTCTGCTGACTACTGACTATGCTGCACATCATGGTGAGATGGGACTTCATGCTCTCATCCAGGTGCCTCTCTAAACTCATCCTTGGACCCTGGATTGAGAAAAATCAAATTAAATAAATGATTGGCCTGATGCAGACTTCTTGCTATGACCACTATTATCACGGATCTTTCTGTAACTACTTACACCAAAGAGATACCAGCTCTTTGCTTACACTGATCCTGATACTTATACTGCTGCTTTTTCCACTGTTACTTTACTGCTGCTACGGGAACTGTATCTGCCCCTACGTGAGGGTGTCTGTCACCCTTCACCTACAGTATATCATTTAAGGTTCTATGAATATGACTCCTCCATTCAAACTTAAATCTAACTTCAAGTTTTGGTTGTACTAAAGAAATAATAATAATAATAAAACTATCCAGCCTGGCAATCCTTAATACACTAGCACTATCAAAGCCTCTGTAAATCTCTAGCATGCTATAAATGTATATAGCCATACCCTACTTTTTCCTTGTCTTATACTACCCTGTTTGTGCTCCTAGACTACCAGGAGATTAGGGAACTGTTTAAGTCCTGCTACTATAACCTTAACTACTTCTACTACATTCTCACCTTGTGTTTACATCCGTGTTGTTTGTATGGGCAGCATGCGAGCGCCGATGGGCATGCTTCTGTTAGATGTTTCTCCATCTCTTCTCTGGGTACCTTTTTAGGCTCACATCGGTTAGGGCAGGATACAGGGTACCGGGGGCACTGGTGGAGGTGGTTCTACAGGAAAAGAACAATAACAAATACAAAAACATTATTTTGTGTTTTGTACAATGATTGGTATGGAGTCTGTTGGATTCAGCAAAAATTGACCCAAGATACTGCTTTTCTGAGGGAAGGGTTTACACACAAAAATTAAGAGCTCTTCTTGCAACTGTGTTTACATATTTAAATGAATTAATGATGAATTTTGAGGGGGGAAACATGGCCCTATGATGATGGATTAGATATTAATCACCTAGCGAACCATCCTTATTATTAGTATTTATAATCATCTACCACTAAAATAATAAACTTTATTATTATAGTCATCAACATCAACATCACCACTACCACCACCACCACCACTACCATCATCATCATCATTTTCCCACCACCACCACCTTCACCATCACAACCACCATCACCATCATCATCATCATCATCATCATCATCATCATCATCATCATCATCATCACCACCACCACCACCACCACCACCATCACCATCACCATCACCATCATCATCATCATCATCATCATCATCATCATCATCATCATCACCACCACCACCATCACCATCATCACCACCACCACCACCATCACCATCACCATCATCATCATCATAACCAACATAATCATCATCATCATCATAACAACCACCAGGCCACCTCCATCTACATCTTCCATTTACCTGTAGTGTTTCATAGACGAACTCCTTGTGGCAGTATTTACATGGAATAGATCGTTTTGCACACTCATTGAGCATGTGATGATTGATAAACCGTCTCTGCAGCTTAGCCCCACACTTGTTTTCACAGAATACCACTTCAAGCTGACATTTGCCAAGATGAGTCTGCAACAAGATGAGAGAGAGAGATAACATGCAAGAGTGAGACTCAGATGATGAATATCTCAGCCCAGATTTCTATTTTTAATCGTGATTCTGGCTTATGATTATCATCAGGAAAGACTAACGATTCATATCGTTGAATACTGCCAGTACACATGCTGCTTTTAGTGTATACCCACTCATAAGCAGGGTCAGAAAAATGAGGCAAATATTTAATGCAAGCTATCCAAGAACATAATTGCCTCAGTGGATTAAAATACATTCAGAAGTATATCCTATCCACATTAAGCCCTTTGACACTTCATTAATCCAAAGGTTTACAAATTAAGTGTTGTTGCCTCGTAAAAGTTAAAAGCCTTTGCTAGCATCTACAGGGAACAGAAAACGTATGATGACAACACTGAAACACCAATGGCAACCCCAATGTATATTTAAAAGACAAATGTCCTATTTTGGAGACATTTCTCTCAAAAGTTAGTCCCATAATGACAGTTCTGTTGACTTTTTGATGAGCACCTATTACAATAGAGGGCTTGAACCTCTCGGCTTTTATTTTTCTTAGGTTCAAATTAAAAACAATAGCTTAGTATCTTACATCTATCTTGCTTCCTGTGAACTCTGAGCCGCAGTATTCACAGGTCTCTGAGCGACGAGGGCAGTCAATGTCTAGATGATCCTTGAGATGATTACGAGCTACCATAGCGCTACACTCCTTACAGGCAACCATGTTGTACTGGCAAGACTCCAGATGGGCCTGATGGAGAGAGAGAAAGAGAGAGAAAGAGAGAGAAATTAATGTATATGTATGACATCAATATGTAGCTAACAATTAATTTGAATCATAGTTATATAGTTATGTATCTTGACCCACATGCATGTTGTCACTACGAAAACAAACATAAATGAGACCAACCAGAAAACTTCATTTTTTCACAATCATCAAAAGGAATTAAATTATCAAAGAATTCAATATACTGGTATATGTATATATATAAAAAAACTCAAGAAAAGAGAGAAAAAATATGTACAAAAATGTATTTTCGCATATATATATATATAACAATGGCTTAGTTATCTTCTGAAGATGTTGACTTATTCTCAAATATCCATAAGAATAAAGGCAACCCAAATACCACATGCCAAAAAACAACTCATATATCGTGCCATTACAATGTCTAAAAAAAGAGGCATAGCTCAAGGCTTAGTTCAAATCTACATATTTTTATGCTCCATGTAGAAGTCACATATAATTAGCAGTCCATCAAAATTATTTACACAAGGTCTTTAATCTCTTGGGTGTTAAAAGGTTGACCGTTCAATTCCCTCACTCTCCCCTCTTGTCCCTCTAATTTCTTCTCTCTCTCTTTCTTTCTTTTTTCCCCTTTCTCTCTCTCTCTCTCTCTCTCTGTTTTTGCTCCTCTCTCTCTTTCAGCTTTTTCTCTCTCTCTCTGTGTCTGTGTCTGTCTCTGTCTCTCTCTCTCTCAAAATACTGACCAATACTTCGCACCAAATGTCAACAGGAGTCCCATCCCACCTTGGGGGATTGTAGCGCTCTGTCAGCTGTAGTTCCATTGTACCACTGTTTGACAGGCACTGAAGACTAGGTGTGAAATCAAAGCCTACTTTATTGATTGAACAATTTGAGAGGTGCAGAGTCATTTCCAATGTCAAAAAGGAAAAGGTTATTTGGTGTTTGCTTGAAAAACCAAATAGCGAAGAATTGATTGGCATTTTTCCTGTTGGAATGTAGATCATGGTCGCGTGTGACACTATTCTTTGAGGTAAGTGGCCTATGTCAATTTTAAAAGCCCTATAGGCATTATCAATCAGCATAAAAGCTTATTCAAAATGAACCTTATTCAAACTATTTGAGGAATGTATGAAACATAATGACCATCGTGATCAAGTCTTTCAGACGCTAATCCAGTTCTTGAAAAGTTCACAATCATTTGGCTTTTGTAAGCAGGTGATTTAAATACAGCGGTGAACAAAACAGCAGTCTAACCTGTCTACCAAGACCAACCAAGGTTTACAGAGAAAGTGGCCTCTATAGGTAGGTGGCATTTCAAGACAGGTTCTATAACTCAAAGCTCTCTCTCTCTCTCTTTTCTCTCCTCTCCTCTCCTCTCCTCTCCTTATTTCATTTCCTTTTATTTTATTTCAATACGGATAACTTGCTTCAGCCAATGGCTGTTCTTCTGCAAGTCCGTCCTCTATCTCTCTCTCTCTCTCGGGGAACAAAATACATGGTCATTATAGACAGGTGGCCTGTATAGAGAGGTGGCCACTATTAAAGACAGGTTTGACTTATATTCCACCCCATCATCCAAGATTCTTCCCCATTTCATCTCATCGGTGACCATCACGAGGATTACATCATCCTTGATTAGTGAGAGATGTTGTTGACCCGCTTCCCTCCATCACCCATTACTCATTAGATGGAATAGACTAACAGATGTCCTTGTTTATTGATTGGATAGAAACGTGCAAATCCTAAAATTAGCATTCCTAATCATCTCCACCTGATGTCGTTTGTTTTCCCCATAGCAACAAGCAAGTTGGATGATAACTTGTGATGAGTGTTGGTGGAGGTCACTCAATATTACAGCCAGTAACAAAAAAAGTTGAATGGATGATTCTGGTATAGTTGAATCTGCCTTCACCCTCCTTATCTCTCTCCACTACCTTTTATATTTCTTTTCCTTTTCATCCTTACTTTTCTTTCCTAAACTTTCCCTTTCTCTATCTCTCTCTTCTTCCATCTGTGTATCTCCCTCTGTCTCTGTCTCCATCTATTTTTATCTCCCTCTATCTCTTTCCCTGTTCATCTATCTCCCTCATTAATCCCCCCTCTCTATCTCTCTCTCTCTCTCTCTCTCTCTCCTATCTTCTTTTTTCTTCAATCTACCCAACATGAATCTGTCTTTCTCTTCCATCAGTTCCATGAAATGGCAAACATCACACCAATCGATAAGCTTTTACTTCAACTAAAAACTATCTGGCAACAAGTAATATTTGAATAATAAAAAAGTAATTTTTTCTCAAATCATATCCTATCAACACCATGCTTTTCCAGCTTCATCTCTGATATGTCTCTTATCTTCTTTTCTTTCCTATCCTCTCTATTACATATGTGTATTTCTATAACATGCAATCAATAATCATCAATCACAACCTCTTCTAAACTGATGTCTGGCTACAAGAAATATTTAACTTCACAATCTAAGTAACCACCGGAAAATCCATGTCAATGCTTTCCACTTGTGCAAGGTAACAATCACAAGTATATCCGTTATGACATAGCAACACTCCACCATTCTCTCTTCATGATGCATCTTCCAGCATCCTCCTCCATGGTCTTCATGCACAACATCCTTCCCAAAGATGGTAAACACGATGATGATGATGTCAGAGACTCCCATCGCATTGGGGAAGTGTGACAAGTCAATTTGCATAGATGACGGTTGGAGCCGAGTCTGGAAATATAGATTTACGCTTTCATGTTCAAGCTTTATTGACACAGTCACTGAGTAAACCTTCTACTTTTTTATTCAAGAAGATTCCCAATACAGGCAAAATATTAGAATTTTAAACGATTCACACAACATTGCTGCTTTGCAGTTCTCCATGCATTTCTACAGATGTTATTTAGTATATTTGTTTCAATGTAGTTCCAATGTAATATTTCTAGTGAAAATAATGAAAAGAAACCGGGAGAGAGGATGATGGATAGAGAGAGAGAGAGAGAAAGAGAGAGACAGCGGGAACAATGGGAGAAGAGGTTGAGAACAGATTTCAGAACTTCTTACCCAAATAGCTCTTTGAACAGCAGATTTGATACAAGAAATTAACTAATACATTTTTGAAAATCAATCGATTGAGTGTGCCAAAAAGAGAAAACATAGCAAATGTATGTATGAACCTACCCCCATCAGAAAATACAGGTGTATTCCATCAGTAATACAAGAAAACAACTGTGATTTACTGATCAATAGTGTTGCCCTTTCTTTCCAAGCTATATAAAGCTTGCAAACATTAATCAACAAAATTAATAGTGGACCAAAAACCAAAACAGTATGAAATGACATTGACTGTCATTCACCTTGTATTAAGCCCTTCTCTAATCCTTCCATCAACCCATACAAGACAGATAATCATAAAAACATCTAACGGGTCAATGACATTCTTACAAATTCTTTCGCAAAGTTCAAATTATAAATCTGCTTTAAACTACCACAACAAAAGATCACAGTAAACAATAAAGGACAACAAATTGATAATGAAATGAAAACAAAATAACCTCAGAATGGCAGCTGTATTCCATGCACTAATGAATATCATCTGTAGGTATTTGTCTTTTCAGTAGAAGCTACAGATTTCGGCTTTATACATCTCCAGCAATGCTTTCATGGTCCTGCATATTTTTTGCCATGAGTTGAAATTACAGGCTGAAAACCACAGAAATCTGTTCCTCATTTTCCTCCGCACTGTCATATCTCCACCTGGTGCAGCGTGTGCCGATGCTATATTGCGAGTCCTTTCAAAGGTTTTTGGTCAAATGAACAAATAATGTTTGGTTGGATGAACTTGTCCAGTTTGTACAGGAATGTAATTAGATTGATGAGAATGCTTGACTACACACTTTATGATGTGTGGGACCAAATGCCTTGTCAAAACATTTTAATATGCAGGGGACAGTTCTGGCATATATTAAACTGTTCTGAACTTGTGATGACACACATGCTTACAGTACAATGATAATATCTCCATTCACCTTTATGCCTTTATGAATTTCTTCACTTGTCCTTTCTTTGAGTATGAATAATTGTTTTGCTTTATATTTCAAAAACAGACTTTACTTTAGTACAGATCGTAGACACGTTAAGGAGGCAGCAATGGATCTATGATTGTCAAAAAGTGGGGGAGGCCGGAGGGAGCCAAAGTTCTTGGAAACACAAATATCCACAATCTCTGGAAACAATAGCACAGATATCACTTGACATTTTATTTCATGAGGCAACATTTTTTCAATTTGGAATTTGGATATACAGGGGAACGAGGTATCATATCAGAAAGAATGAAAGTAAAAAACTACGATAAGCATGAAATATGCAAAGATTGAAAAAGATAGGGGTTGGGGGCCTATAAAATTACAAATACTACAGTCACTTCCATGATGAATTGCTCATAATTTGACATTATTTCAAACACTCTTGAAAACACAAATTCCATTAAAATCAATGCTTACATATCAAGACACAGTGACAGATAATCACATTGTTGATAAAAAATCCTCTGATCCTTAAAGTCTGAATTTAGAATTGTGGAAGAATCCATCACAAAAGGTATTTTGTGATTTTCTTCGCTTTACAGTCTGGATCAACAGGATGGTGCAGACAGCGAAAATCAATGAATACTAATATTTTTTTTCTTCTAAAATAATTTTTTTCATCCTACTGCACGCTATGGAGTTAACCACAACTGATAATGTCATTCATGGACGTTCACTGAAGCAGAAATGGCTGGAGGTGAAGAGGGAACAGAATGAGAAGAAAGAACGTTTTGATGATGAGCACTGATAATGGGGATTACAAAATCTATTCAACTATTCAAACGGTTATCATTATTGAGCAGCTGTCACCACACAGACATAAATATACAAAGTAGAAATGATGTGAAAAGATGCTCTTCTCTGCTTTATCTGTGTGATGGTGATAAAATGAATTTAAGAGGACAGTTCTCTCAATGAAAAAG